TCGCCATGCTAGAGGATAAACTCATAATCACACAAGCCGAACTTGATCACTCGGAGCAAATGCTTAAAGAACACGCGGAAGCCTTGGAAGAGGCCGATCGTATTCGTGAACACGATTTGAATACTGCCGCTAGTTTGCAAAAGTACATTGTGGAGCTTGAAACGAAATTAGAAAAACATGAATCAGGAGTTATGTTACGCGAAAATCGTGATGGACATCCTGAAAAATTTATTAGTGAGACTGTAAGATTGTTAGAGCAACGATTGCAAGAGAGCGAAGAGGCATACAAAGATTTAGAGATCAAGTTAATGAATGCTGAGCATGAGAATAACAATAATGAGAGAATAGAGACGCTGGAAAGATTATTGCAAGAGAAGGAAGATGACTACAACTCATTGGAGGAAAAATTTAAATTGCTTGATTGCAGCGCAGAAAAGAAGAGCTTGATGGATCAATCGGAGGTGCCACGTTCTCCCATAACTCAATCAATCGGTGGAACCGATCAAAATAATTTACTGACGGTTCTAGCACTCGAATCAAAGCTTTCGGAAGTTGAGAAGGCTCACGAGGAATCCGTGAGTGAATTGACTGTGTTAAAGAAAAAACACAACGAATGCCTTGATCAAATAAAAGATCTACAATCGAAACTTGAGGAAAATCAAGAACCGATTGTGGAAAGAGATTCTAGCTTAGAACAAAAATTGACCAAAATGCAAGATCTTTATAATAGGAATTTGACAAGTCTTGCAGATTCGAGGTTGAAATATCAGGCCAGCCTTCAATTGATTCAAGAACTTCAAAGTCAACTTGAAGAATCCAAACGCAAACATTCAGAGATGATGGAGGATCTGCGTTCCTTCTCTTCAACACCTATCTCTCCCATCACTTCAATCACTTGTTATTCAGATTCTCCAAGGGATGATGCAACACCATCCCAGCGATCGTCAGTTACAGCTTTCTCCGGGAGATCTTCATTACATCGTAAGGCTGTGTCGATGTCAGCATCTATGGATCTTAAGGGGTCGGATAAATGTGATTTAGAATATTCGGCTATCATGGAGAAATTGCAATTTGAATTAAAGCTGTTTGAGTCTTCCCCAAAGGATAAACCAACTAGCTTGGATGCAATCCGACATGAATTATCGAGATTGGAGATCAAACATTTGGAAACCGTACAAGTACTCGATGGAATTCGCGAAGAACTCGAGAGACGCGACGCGTTAGCAACATTGCAAATCAGCTCGATGACGAATGCAGGTTCACTTAAAGACGATAAAGCCGATACACATTCAGAAGGACGTTCTACCCCTATCACAAGTCAGGCTGACGAGCTTGATATTGTACAGAGATTACGAGGAGAAGTAAATACGCTCAAGGAGAAGCAACGAAAGGTCATGGAAAACATATTCGAACGTGAAAAAGAAAATAAGCTCAAATCTGTGGAAGTTCATCAGTTACAATCAAGTATAGGTGGACTCCGAGAACAATTGAGAGTTGCAATTGAGGAAAAACTGAGGCACACCGAAAATACTAACGGTAATGGCGAGAAAGATTATGAATCGCACATAAGCGAATTGCTATCGAAAGTAAAAGAATTGGAGGCACAACTCGCAATCGTTCAAGGATCAAACCACGAACCGCAAGGCACAGCCCCAGAAGTGATTTCATACAATAACGTAATTGAGGATGAAAATGAGAAGAGAATGGTGGAACTCCGCGAGCAAGTTGAAAAACTACAGGTAGAGATCCAAGCCAAGAGTGATACCATCGCTACCCTCTTACTTCCAAATAATGAACAGGAAAATCAGATTCAGCGACTCGAGGAAGAACTCAGAGAGTTCAAGGAAGCTCATCGACTGGCGATCCAAGAAAAAAATCATGATTCTCATAATTCTCCAGATGCACGAACATCCCCAGATATTGGAGCACATGAGAATGCGACGACGTTAGGAAACACGGTCAAGGATCTAGAAATACAATTAATAAGAGTCAAAGGGCAGCATTCTGCGCCGTCTTCTAAACGAAGTTCAATGATGTTTATCACAGACCCGATACAAAGAACGTTTGACATTATTCACTCAAACCTTGAGATATTGCAACAAGAGTTGAACGCAGAACATTCTAGCATTGATTGCGATAAGGAAAAAGAGTGTGTTGTCGATTCGAAGAAAGATCTGGTATCACTGATGCAATCAAATTTCGAGGTGCTTCGATCGGACATTAAACGTAAGAATGATCTTGTGGAAACCTTAAAGCGTGACTTGGTTGACAAAAGCTTGATGCAGCAAAAGCTTCATGAAAATGAAGTTGAGATTGAAGTTCTTACACAACAGTTGAGCGTCATCAAGGTTCAGAATAAAGGAACACAGAAGCAAATTGAAGAACTTTTGGAACAACTGACAGAAGCAGAGAAAAATAGCAAAGAAGCTCAAAAATTGTTGGAATCTGAGTTGAAGAACATAAAGGAGGAGCATAATAACCTGAAGAAAGAATACGATAATGTAAGAAAAGAATACGACAATGTCAAAAACAGTAATTCTTCAACTATCGAGGAGTTAAAAGAAGAAATCGATCGCTTAAGAGCTGAAAAATTGGAACAAGATACGATGATAAAAACATATGAAACTCAACTTGAACTCTTGGCGCAAGGAGACCCAGATATGGCCGCATTAAGAAAAGAGCTTGCGGAATTAAAAACAATTGAATCTCGATTGAAAGAGAGGGTACAAGAATTAGAATTACAAATTGAAATAGCAGATGCGAAGTCTAAAAGGTTGCAAAATATGAAGGATGAATTAAGGACCTTTAAAGAAGGAGATATTGATAAGGATATAATTATCGAACAATTACAACATCAAGTTGCGGACGCCAAGGAAGCAAAGGATGCAGTAGTTAATGAGTGGACAAGTATGAAGGAAAGTTTTCAAACTCAAACAAAACTTGTAATAACCCTCGAAGGGGGCTTGCAAACTTTGATGGATGAGTTAAATTTGACCAAGAAAAATCATACTGCAACACTGCAAGAAGTTGAAGAGTTAACAAGTTTCCTGACAACGATCATGCAAAAACATGAAAGTGACGAAAAAAAGATTGAGCTTTTGGAAAAGGAGGTTTCGGAATTAAAGGGAATTAACCGAAAGGATCCTTTGGAATGCCGTGAAAAATTGGAGGTTCCTACGCACGAAATAAAATCACAGGGCAAGATTTTGAGCGAACTTGAACGCCAGATAGTTGACCTTGAAAAGGAGAAAGAAACGCTATCACGGAATCTCTTAGAACGCGAAAATCAACAGAAAGAGATAGCAGCGGAGTTTGAAGAAAAGATTGAAAAGCTAAATCAACAAGTAAATAGTCTAAACGTCATGATAAAAGAAAAAGAACAATTGATAGAATCCAAGGATTCTCTACTCGAGGAATTGAATAATAAGATTCTCCCGAGTTCGACTTTAACGAATAATACAGAGAACGCACAATCGTTGTTGGTGAAGGAATTAGAAAATGCATTGAAAGAACATGAAACAAGGTTAATAGAAGTCAACAGTAGGCTCGAACAAGCTAAGGAATCCGAGGTGCAGCAGACCGAAAAGATAAAAATGATGGAATCTCAGCTTCAAGAATCCCGTTCGCAACGAGATGAAGAAATCAAAGCCTTTAGAGAACAATGTACGTTCTTAAAAAATGTGATCGAAAGCGCCAGGGAAAACGAAGCTATTTCAGGAGAGCTTAAATCACAATTTATCCAACGTATTGAAGCTCTGGAGGGGATGATAAACGAAAGGGAAAATGAAGATCAATGTAAACTCCAATTTGAACTTGAAGAGCAAATAAAGACCTTAAAGAAAAATTACGACTTACTAAATGAAAATTTTACCGAGGTAGCTAATAAATTTGTTGATGCAGAGGTTATTTCTCAAGAACAAAAGGAACGCATCGTAGAACTGGAGGCAGCGCTTAGAGATGCAAACGAACAAAAAACCTCACAATTAGACTCATCATTAGATGTTAACAAACGAAACTCGGTTCTTGAGAATCCCAAGTTTGCAAGATTGTCCGCAGTTACTGAAAATTTGCAACAACATCATGAAAATCTGACTTCCAAAATTAGCGAAGTTGGATTTTGCGCTTCATCATTAACAGACAATCTGAAAAATTTAGAAGTCGAAATTGATCAATTAAAATCTTTAGATGATGTCGAATCGGTCGATGTGTTAAAAGAAAGAATCACAAAACTCAAGTCAGAAAAAGAAGATTTAAAACAAGTTAACGAAGCTTTATTTGAGGAAAAGAATGACGTTGATCATAAAATAAAAACTGTTTTAGATCAATTGAAGATGGCGAGTCAGGACGGAAGTAGAACTGCTGCTTATATAGCTGAGCTAAATACTAAATTGGAGCTACTTGAAGGTGAACTCGTGAGCCTCAGACAGCACCCAAGTATTGAAAAAAAGAAGAAGGAAACTATTGTCAATGATAATTCACAATCAAATAATCTCGATATTTCGGATCCTCAAAAAGAAAAGTATATCAAGGAACTTCAAGGAAAGGTGGTTGATCTTGAACGACAACTACAAAGAAGCTGTGCCGACAACCTGACAACGTTCTCTAAAACCACAAGGATGGAAATTCAAGAATTATATAAGATTATAATGGAGATTGAGGAAGAGCGACAAAAAGTTGAGCAATCGCTAGAAAAAGAAAAGAAGGCAAAGACTAACGCAGAAATAGCGTTGAGAGAATTACAAAAACAATTAGAAACACTTCAAGTTTCGACTAAAAAGAAGAAATTTAGATTCTTGTGTGTATAGATTAAATTAGATATATTATTTTAATTTCTTGTAAATATATATTTTTTCTAGTTTTGTATTTACTGCATATATAATAAAATTTGAAAACTAAGACACTCATAAAATTATAAAACCTTTCCTGTAAAATATTTATCGACAATTCTGTAGGATCATAAAAATGAAAGTATAAAAACGTCATTTTTTTATATTATAAAAAATCGAATTAAAAAATTACTTTTAAAAATATACTTAAATAATCGCAAAATATTTATTTGAATTATATTTTAAAAATCCTCGCATGTATCGCACTTAGCCCTTAAAAAATAAAATAAAATAAAATAATCTTAACAAATTTCAAATTAATTAATTAAAATTTAAAAAACCAATTTTATAAAATTTTTATTAATTAAAATAATATTTTTTTTAATACTATAAAATAGTTTTTTTTGAAAATGTTATAGAATAAAAAAATTTGTTTGTTTATAATTATATATAAAATATATAAAAAATAAACAATAATATTTTTTATAATAAAAAATTTTATAAAATCTAGATTTTATTTAAATTAAAACTTTAAATCAATTTTAAATAATATTATATTATTTTATTTTAATAAAATATTAATTAATTATTTTTTTGTAAAATATTATTTATAAATAAATAAAATATATTATTATAATGATTAAATTATTATTGTTATTTTATAAATAGATAAATATTATTATTTTGTAATATATAAAAGTATTAAATAATTTTTATATAAAAAAAGTAATAATATTTTTTATATAATTATATAATTAATAAGTTTAATACTAATTTATTTATAAAAAAATTATTTAAGCAACTATAAATAAATAAATATTAAAATCAATATATAATATATTAAATAGCATATATTGCTATATTATAAAAATTAAAAATTTTCATTAAAAAAACTTTTCATTAAAAGTCCATAATTTATTTACTTCTATTAGCTAATTTCTATCTCAAATTTAACCAATCAAATACTATTAAACATTAAAACAAATCTGTATTATCAATATACTACACAATAATCAATATAAACAAAACTACTTTTTATAAAAACAATCAAAGAAAAATCATATTATCAACAATTAAACCAATTATTATATTAATTATTAAACATATTAATATAACAACAATAACAATTACTATAATAACAAATAATATCATATATATTTTATTATTTATAGTAACCAAAAAACTGAAGAGATAAGACAAAAATAAGCCTATTTAAAGGTTCTCTTAAAAAAATAATTAGTTTTCTATTTATAGATTTTATAGTTTATTTGCTTATTTTTAATTTTAATAATATTTATTTATTTATTTTTCAATTGCTTTACATTCAAAAAATAAAAAAAGATTTAACAAAATTTTTTGAGTAGATAAATATACAATATAATGATATTTTTTTTTTAATTGGTTATATGGATTTAATAATAATTTTGATAACAAGTATAATTCAAGAATCTTCGAAATAAAGAAATTGATATATAAAGCAAGTTTAAATAATATATAAAATCTGAATCACTGAGATTTCTTGCTTTATTGTTTGATAAGTTCTCAGATTACACAAAAGTTATGTTGAAGTTAAGAAAACTTGTTGTTTTTGAACTTGATTCGTAATTTATTTTTGTAATTCTCTCAACGCTATTTCTGCGTTAGTCTTTGCCTTCTTTTTTTTAAAAACATTATATTATTACTAAAGTTAATTCAAATTTCATCCAAATATTATACAATATCTAGATAACATTGTACAATATTAAAAATTATATTACAAAAGATTAAGATTGTGTATTGCCTCCAAAACCTTTGATCTCCAGAAAACAAGCAAAAAAGATATAATTGTTCTCTTGAAAATAAAATACAGACTGTTTGATATTCCAATAGAATATAATGTTGTTCTTTTTAACAGATTACTGTATATTTGATTTTTTTTTTTCAAAAGTATTGGATTGCATTAGAGTGTAAAAAG